CTCTTTGGTTACTTTTGGCCCAGGGTCTTATCCAGGTCATAAACAAAAATCCTACCTAGAGTGTTTTAAGGGCCATCTCCAGAAATTTTATTTTATTACATCCCTTCCTCAATTTTACACTGTAGGGCATGCATCAAAAACAATTTCACCATACTTTACCTCAGGGCCCTCCAATCTCAATTTTTATGGCATGTGACATATTTTTTCACCGGCAGAAAATTATGATTCAGATTCAGGTTTTTGCTGTAGCGATGGGTAATCAACAGTACAGATTTGGACTAGGAGAGGCTCGCATTAAATCAAACAGTGCTGATATCAGGAAGAGGAGACAGTCACCCAGCACACAGAAATAAGGGGTGACTGACCTGTGCCACAGGGGTTCTGGCATTACAGTCTGTCCAAGATGCATTTGATGAAGGACTATGAAAGCTAGGAATGTTCTATGATTCAACTTTCCTGAGACACACAATAAACATAGTAAATGTGGCAGACACCGGTACTTTAGTGACCACTGGTCTAAAGCCTTTGGAGCTGGTAGGTTGTTTGCAATCATTTTCTTTCCTTATGTCTGCTTAGAAGCTGAAACAGTATGAATGAAGACTTTCTTTCACCTTTGGGCACTTTAGTTGCTAAGAAATCCTTCCCCCCTCTGCCCTCTCCACCATTCACAAAACTCCCACTAATATTTTCCAAGATATGTATCACATTCAGAGAATGGATGGTGGAATCCTGTCATTCAACTGCTTCACCACCCAGTCACAGAATGAAATGCATTGTGGGGGTGTAGTAATACAAGTTCTGTGAATGGCATAGATGGCAGAAGAGAGTGGGTTAACAGTGCAACTTTTCTCAGTAGCAGCAGCTGCAGTTAAGGCAGAACTAGTCCTAATTTGTAAAAGACTGTGTGAGGCAGCTCTTTATTTCAGAAGAGACATGCTATGTCTCTTCTCCAATAACAGACACATATTGCAGCATTCTTGAAGTCTTCTATTCAATGTATATTGAGCTCAGTGTGCATTCCCAGCACACTCTAACTGTGCCCTAGTGACTGACACTTGTGCGCATCCCACTGCTGGCCAATCAAAAGGTTGAAAATTCAGCACACAAGTGTATTCCAGGAGAAGAGGACAGTGGCTGGCGTGGTTAACTACTGCATCACTTGAAGGTGGAGGTGAGTATTTTTAGGAGTTTAGCTCCACTTTAACTCTCACAGTGGCAGAAAACAGCCATTCAGGACAGTATCTGGCTACTCAGCAGATGCACAGCAGGGAATATATTTTACCAGAAGCAGCAGCCTGCATTGTGGGGGTGTAGTAATACAAGTTCTGTGAAGGCATAGATGGCAGAAAAGAGTGGGTTAACAGTGCAACTTTTCTCAGTAGCAGCGACTAAAGTTAAGGCAGAACTAGACCTAATTTGTAAAAGACTGTGAGAGGCAGCTCTTTACTGCAGGCGAGACATGCTTTGTCTCTATTCCAATAACAGACAGGTATTGCAGCCTTCTTAAAGTCTTCTATTCAATGTACATTGAGCTCAGTGTGCATTCCCAGCACACTCTGACTGTGCCCTAGTGACTGACACTTGTGCGCATCCCACTGCCGGCCAATCAATAGGTTGAAAATTCAGTACGCAAGTGTATTCCAGGAGAAGAGGACAGTGGCTGGTGTGGTTAACTGCTGCATCACTTGAAGGTGGAGGTGAGTATTTTTAGGAGTTTAGCTCCACTTTAACTCTCACAGTGCCAGAAAACAGCCATTCAGGACAGTATCTGGCTACTCAGCAGATGCACAGCAAGGAAGATATTTTACCATAAGCAGCAGCCTGCAAGTATTGGGATACACACCCACATGGAAGAAAAATATATTTGAAATATATTTTAAAAATATTCTTCCTAAATATATTGACATATATCTGAAATGCTACAATTTTGGCCATATTCAATATATGTCAAAATATATTTCAATATATATATACTGCAAGTTGAAATGCGTTTTTATTACAAGATATATGAAAAATATTTTTAAAAATACATTTCAAATATACTGTATGGCTTTAAAAATACAAATCTACATTTTTGGAATGCATTTACAAATATATGTTCAAATTATTTTGAAATGTATTTTTAAAATATTTTTCATATATTTTGTAATAAAAATGCATTTCAACATGCAGTATATGTATGTGTGTGTATATATATATATATATATATTGCAATATATTTTAAAATATATTGAATATGGCCAATATTGTAGCACTTCAAATATATGTCAGTATATTTGGGAAGAATATTTCTAAAATATATTTAAAATATATTTTTTCTTCCATATGGGCACCATTACATAAGCTAAGGTGTATGGTGCTGCATTAAAAAAATTCTAACCTTCAGCTTTAAAAGACCTCTTCTTCTGAAAATGCGTATTGACTGGTCTGCAGATCAGAAGAAGTTCTTACCTCATTCTTATTTTATAGAATGCATCAGTGCCTCAAAGCAAGGATCAACTTAACAGCATGCACATCAACTAGCAAAAGCAGAGGCAGGTCAGCATTGACAGCATAGTTATTTTTTCTAAGATTTCTTTTTAAGAAGTATTACTGTACTATTATATTATTATTATTATTATACAGTATTTATAAAGCGCCAATAGTTCGCTCAGCGCTGTACATTACAATGGGAGACAATACATGAGACAGTACAGTAACAATACAATTCGATACACGAGGGGTTCGAGGGCCCTGCTCCTTAGAGCTTACAATCTAGGAGGGGGGGATAGTGGTACAGGAGGAAAAGCTGTGGGGGATGGAGTGGTAGGAAGAGTGGAGGAGATCGGCAATTAGCAGGGGGCGGGGTAGGCTTCCCTGAAGAGGTGGGTTTTCAGGGTTCGCCTAAGGAGAGGAGAGTAGGTGATATGAGTCTACATTTATAAACATTATATAGGAAAAGCAAACCTGTCATAACATGAACTATCCATTACTTATCTTTCGGAAAGGTAAAGTTCAAATATTTTAGTAACCCCCTTTATCTCAGTATATACACCCAGAGTGCACTGCTGGTGAAAATATTTCCTCCAAAAATTTCACGCTATACATGGCAATTAAAGTCCGCAGAGGGCGGAATCCTGGCAGAATCAGATGGTAGAATGTGGCGGAATCAGAATATTAGTACAGACAGCACAGCACAGTTCAGTGGTTTGGGACTCACACTAACTCAGCCTTTAGTTTAACCCCTTCCCGCCGGCGCCTCCCGGCCCTTTAAGAGTTCCAGAAGCCGGGAGGCGGGATGGGCGGGGTTTACGGATCATGTGACCGCTGTGACGCGTTGTCATGGCAGTCACATTATCGGGAAAGGTCCCGATCGTAAGAGCAGACTGGGACCTTTCCGTGAGTACCAGACATGTGGGCTGGGAGCACACAGGGCGTGTGCTCTCAGCACATATGTTTTTTGTTAATTGCACGCAAATGTGCGGCCGCTCGGCGTCTAGGCCCAGACGCCGGATGTGCGGCCCGGCGTAAAGGGGTTAATAATATGAATACAACCACAGCAAATAAAATATCACAATGGTGGAATTCCAGCAAATCTAAGTGATATTACTGAGTTATACATTTTTTAGTGTTGTATATTTAGTTTGGAAACACAGCTATAGGTAATGCTCTTTTTGATTGTTTTCCTAAAGCTGCCTTACAGCAAACAAAAAGCTCATTCCTTACTGTACTGCGATGTAATGCTCTTTAGACTGCTGATTAAAGCTGTCCTAGTTTGTGGAACCTAAAATATCCATTTCTGAAAATATGTTCTTTCATCTAACCTTGCTATGATGAAATGATTTAAAATGTTAAGCAAAACTTATAACAGCTAGCCACATGGGAAAGCAAGTGGACCTCAACATGCAAGGAGGTTAGTAATGCACTAAATATTGATTTGGTAGCAATTAATGTTATAGAGAAGAACTAACCGCACAGCTAAATTGTGTTCAGACACCTGAAGTCTTAAAAGCATTGCTACTGGAAAGTGCTGTGCCATTTTGCAATGGGCTTGATTTACTAAAGGAAAATAAATTGTGCACTTTGCAGGTAAAATTTGACTCTGCAAGTGCAGTTGTGTCAGAGCTAAATAAATGAAGGAGAAGCTCTGTTGACTTCCTTCATCCAATCATGTGCAAAATCGTGAGCAAAAACATTGTTTTTTAATTTTTTTCCTTGCGTGTATTCTTTTGCACAGTTGAGCTTTACCTCATTTACTAGCTCTGGAAAAACTGCACTTGCAAAGTGTGAAGTCTATTTGCCTTTAGTAAATCAACTCCAATGTCTAACAATGTTAACTCAGCACCGCCATGTAACATGTATACAGTATAGAGTATATTGGTATACGATCCGCAATCTTAAATATTTTTGGCAGGTGCTTTATTTTTAGAAACCTTTTGAAATTTGGAGTAATATAAATGAATTTATGTATTTAAAACTGAAATTTAAGTATAGAAAATGTTTCCAGCTTAGACCAATGTAAATATGTATGTGTCATACCTGTGGGATCCCCATGGAAGATGGAAATCACTGTAATAGTCACTGCTACTACAGTGATCTTCACTAGCCTTTGGATCTCATACACAATGAACCCTCTATTTCTCTACAATGCTCTCATCGCAGTTCTCTAATACCAATGATAGCATGGTTGCACCTCTTTCTTATTTTATGCACTTTAGGTTCTTTAAATGGGTGCCCAGAAGCTATTCTCCTAAACATTTTTCTAATTTACTGATGCAGAATAGAGTGCATATTGGTCACACAATATTGCAAGGCTGGTTCCCTTTGTCAAGTATGTAATAATGTGAGACCTCTGTCAAAGTGAAAGAAATTACTCCAGTTCTGGGGCGGACTGGCCATTCGGGCTCTCGGCACTGCCCGAGGGCCCGAATGGCCAGTAGGGGACCCGATGAGAGGCTGGGAGGAAGGGGTGGGAGAATGTCACCAGCACACTGAGGATCACCAATGTGGGTCCAAAAGTTTTAACCACTTCCTGTCCGGCCCATGTATATAAATGGCTGACGGGACGGGAGCAGTGCAGGAGCAGGTGGCCATTTATTAACGTCCCCCCACTTCCCTGTCTGTGCGCGCTCCCACGAGCCAGTGATCGCTTTACGGGACCTCTGTGTGAGGTCCTGATCATGTGATCACTGATTGGCCAATCAGTGATCACATGAATAGTAGTAAGCAAGATGTCACTTCTGAGGTCATTGTTTACTAAGTGTAAAAATCCATGAATAATCACAGAGGTCACATGGTACAAGGCTATTCACAACAGCCTTGTACCATGTGACAAGCTGTGACCAATCACAGCTCACACAGTATTTCTCAATGGCTGCAAGAATGCAGCCAGAGAGAAATAGCAATGATTGCTTTTACAGTCTTTATGGGTGCAAAAGCAATCAGTGTAAAAAAAAAAAATCTTCATCACCCCCCCACTAGTAGTACAGTGTCACTATGGTGACAATGTCCTGCTAGGGTGACAGTATGTTAAAAAACATAAAAAAAACACAAATAATAATATAAAAAAAATAAAAGAAAAATGTAAAAAACTTTTTGAAACATTATAATTTTTGGTTATAAACTAATTTTGGTTATTTGTTTTTTTACTAAAAAAAGATAGCTGAATACATTTTGGCCACGATTTATGAAGAAAGACTATTTATTTGCAAACTTTTCTAAGAAAAACATTTTTTCAAAATGTTTAGACTTTTTCATTTATATAGCAAAAAAATAAAAATCCCAGTGGTGAATAAATACCACCAAAATAAAGTTTTATCTGTCACAAAATAATGCTAAAAAATTTATATGGGTACAGTGTTGCATGACCGCGCAATTGTCATTCAACGTGTGATAGCACTGAAAGCTGAAAATTGGCCTGGACAGGAAGGGGGTGAAAGTGTCCGGACTTGAAGTGGTTAATGAATGATCACATAGTTACAGCAAGGCAACGCTTCGGAGTTTTGCAGGACCCCTTTGTTAGACATTCGTCACATGCCTGATGAAGGGATTCCTGCGAGACTCCAATACGTTGCTTTGCTGTAACTATGTGATCGTTCATTAAAGCTTTTGAACCCAGATTGGTGATCCTCGGTGTGCTGGTGACATTCTCCCTTGCTGATTCTGTTCGGTTCCAGCCGACGGTCGCTGCAGCACCCACTTATACACACAGCCATTTTTAGCACAGAAACATTTGTGTGCATTTGGATTGTACACTTGCAGATGGAGTAAGTGGGCCCAATCCTGAGAGGAGCAAGAGACTGGCAGAGGCTGAGAGAGCCTGTGGAGGAGGAGGACACTTCCAGAACAGGTGAGAGAACTAATGGCAGGGATAGGTATGGGGTCAGGAGTGCCTTCGGCACGTATCCTGCATTTCCCTTGTGTCAGTGAGGAGAAGCACTGCTGAAGCCTCTTCTACACCGCTGTCTACATAGCTCAGCCTCCCAGCAGGATGTCTGGCTGCTTATTCACCCGAATGCAACTGGAAGCTGACAGGTCTACTGCCCTGACACTCAGCACTGCACCTGCCATCTCCTGAAGTCCAGGCTGTGTGGGAAGTACAATGGGCAGCCTGTTGAATTAAATGTCTGCTGGAGCAAGGGTGGTAAGAGCCAGTAGCCCCTCTTCTCATAGTTGTAATCTGAACCCTATTTATCATCAGTGGTGAGCATGTATGCAGGGGGGGACTCTGAGTGTGTGTGTGTGTGTGTGTGGGGGGGGGGGGGGTAGCACTGTACTTCATATAATGGGGGTCCTGTGTGTTCTGAGCGGGAATAGTGTACTCATGTGGATGGGGGAACTGCACTCCTTATAGTAAGAGACCCCTGTGTGTCCTGAAGATGGGGGACACTGTACTTATCATGAGGACCCCCTGTGTGACCTCAGGATGAGGAGATCAGTACGTCTTATAATGGGGGGACCCCCTGTACGACTTGAGGATGCGGGTGCTGTACAACTTGTAATGAGGGGCACATTTTGTGACTGGAGAATTAGAGCCTACTGTGCTTTATAATTAGAGTTTCCCATTCTACCCTAAGTGGGCACTCTCTGTGCCTTATAATGAGGGGCCCACTCTGTGACCAGAGGATGAGTATGTACTCTGTACTTTATAATGGGGAACCCACTGTGTGGCCTGAGAATGGGGGGGGGGGCTATACATCATATACAGGGGCAGACTGACAACTCATAGGACAATAGGGGATCATGGGGCCCCTGTGTCCTTGCCCAAACTCAAAAAAGCCTATGAAAAAGGTACCAGGGGCATCTCATGGGGCTCCCTACTTACCCCGGGCCCTCGGGCAGTGCCGAGTTTCCAAATGGTCAGTCCGCCCCTGATCATATAATGGAGTGTCCTCTGTGTGACCTGAGCATGGGGGTTCCCCTGTTTGTCTTGAGGATGAGGGCACTATATGTCTTATACTGGAAACCACAAAGTGTGTCACCCCCTGTCTTTCCCCCTTCCTCTCTTCCCTCTTCCATTTCTCTCCTACTTTCCCATCTCCCCCATCTCTCTCCATCCTATTCTTATCTCTCTCCCCCTTATCCCTCCTTCTGTCTCTTTCCCTTCACCCCCTCTTCCCCTCTTAGTTTTTAATAGGGGTTTCTGTCATATTTCAGGTTCTCAGTAAAAACATTGTCAGTAAATTTTCCATGTCTTCTCAGTGTAAACAAAAAACAAGTTGTGGGGGGTCGGCAACCCTGTCACAAAGGAGCTGAATGGGAACTGAACAGCCGATGGCAATTAACCCCTCAATCACCAGGCATCTTCACTGTACTATGTAACCAGCCCCCGAAATTTTTGCCATGGTGCGCTGCACTTCTTCCTCTGGCATTAGGGTCCAAATTATGATCTTGCGCACAGGCCAACTGCTTTCATAAAATGCCCCTGATTGAGTCGTAATAATGGCTGCCACGCAGTGGCCATCTTTAAACCTGGCAGTGTCCAGCAGCTTCTACAGAAAAAGGCCAGGAACTATGCTGTGTGTTAGATATTTAAATACGCCTCTAGCTTAGTTGCAATATGTAGGTGGGGATTTGTTTGGGTGGGGACACAGGGGGCCCCATGATCTTCTTTTGCCCGGGGGTCCCATGAGTTTTCAGTCCGCCCCTGCTCCAATTCTTTCTCGTTTACTGAGATATTTCTACTAAAAAATAGTTAAAAGTGGAAGAAAAAAAATTCCCCAAAGGCCCCCCTTCACCTCTCCAACACACAGTAATAAGTATAGAACTAAGATATGCTGATTGTTTCATCATTGTCACATAGTTATGTATGAGAAGTCCATTGTAGGCTACAGAGCCAATTAATGCATGCCCAGTGTTGCACCCTGCCAACTTAAAAGAAGGTATGTGAACAAAAGCTAGAGCACTATAAGAGCCTTGCCACTTAAAACAATGCACAATATGATCTGAGGTCTGTACTTACTACCTACAGTATGTGGTTAACATTTTCCATCTGCAGTAATTTTCTGTAAGTACTAGGAATTTGGCAAGTTAAAAAAAAAAAAAGAATTTGACAAGAGATTCTAAAAAAATATATGGAGAGATTGACAACTATTCTTGTCCAGTCTTTTCCAATTCAAAGAAGCATGATAATACACAAAATATAACATAGCGTTTTGTTTTTTATTTGTACCAAAAGCAATTTTACTGAGATAATACCACGGAGCTCTATTCATGCAGGAAAAAAAGAACCTCTGTGATGAATTCTATATGAATATTCAACAATTGTAAATGAAATTCAGTGTATCATTGTCACTCAACATAGCACATTACAGAGAAGACCAGTTTTTTATAAAGAGATCAAGCACTGTATGCTACAATACAAGAGGCTTTGTCCTTACACAAAATTTGTCACTTGTGTATTAAATTGCTGTTTGCTAACATTCTTGCCCACGAACATCACTGTACCAAAGAGAATTTTTTTAGAATCCGTTCGCACACCTACACAGTCCCACAGGGCCCAGACAGAAGTGACAGGTTGTAATTGGAGCTGGCAAGGAATTCTGATTTAATTTGTCTAAAAATATTCATGACAAGAGCCACTCATCCTCTATGCATGATATTAAGAGGCATTTTAGCAGCAAGCTTATTACAATGACTATTTCTGGCATGAGCTATGGTTCATGTAAGACTAGCAGCCTAGACGTTATGACAGTAACCCCTTAGCTGCTAATGAAATGACTGTTCCTGTATGTACACTAAAAAGACATGTAAACCTATTCCAAGCAATGTTTAATCATTTCCAATTTATGAGGTGCAAATTAATTGATTACAAACGTAGAGAAGCATAATTACAAAGATACTACTTGGGTTAAGGAAAATGTTCCTTTTAGTAACTCTCAATACATATTATGACATATATACCGTACTTCTGTAATCAGCTACTTTGAAATGGGTAATCATCCAAGGTATCAAAATCATCTTTAATTACTATTTAGATATTGTAAAACTTTATTTTTAAGGCATGGATAATAGGCTGAGTACTGGCTCTGCACAATTGTGTAGTATGCTATGTTTGGAGAAAATAAAATGGATTAAAACATAGTTCAGGAACCTTAGAAAAGGAGAGGCTAAAGCTGATTTGCTAGTAGTAGTTAATCACATTCAACCACTTGTATTATGTAATTCTGGAAAAATCTCATCACTCTGACAGGAACAAACCTGAGCATTTTTATCACATGGGTAATATATTCAGCAATGTAAGTAAAAATGCTGACATATATGCCTAATAATCCTTTAAACTGAGGATGCCACTTGGATGAGTGGTGAAATATCTTCTCTTTAACAGAGGCAGCTCTAGGCTTTGTGAGGCCTTAGGCAAAACTTAGGAAAAAGACATGAGGCCCCACTCACACCCATTATAGGAAACATAAAGAGACAAAGAGACCTGCATCAAGTAAAGAGACAGCCCAATCCAGCAAAGAGACAGCCCCATCTAGCAAAGAGACATCCCCATCCAGCAAAGAAACATCCAAATTCAGAAAAAGACGGCCTAATCCAGCAAAGATATACAGTGGGGCAAAAAAGTATTTAGTCAGCCACCAATTGTGCAAGTTCTCCCACTTAAAAAGATGAGAGGCCTGTAATTGGCATCATAGGTAGACCTCAACTATGAGAGACAAAATGAGAAAAAAAATCCAGACAATCACATTGGCTGATTTGGAAAGAATTTATTTGCAAATTATGGTGGAAAATAAGTATTTGGTCACCTACAAACAAGCAAGATTTCTGGCTCTCACAGACCTGTACCTTTGTCTTTAACCTCCTTGGCGGTATGATTCTTTCCGGTTTTTGGTGCTGAAAGCAGTACCATTTTTTTGCATGG